GGAATTTGTATACCCAAGTTTATAGCGTTAGCTTATATGTTTAATGTCTCAGGAGTCAGTAGACATATCTCTGCTTTCATTCCTGTATTATGTGTGTTCTTTCTCTTCTTGCTTTACCTGCCCAGAGATACATCAGTTTCTTCCTTCTTTTCAGAAAACCCATTTTACTTTTTTTCCCTACTTTTACTCATTTAAAATTCTTTGATCTCTACTTGTTATGATTTTTGTTTGTTTCGTGTTTTGTTTTCTTAGTTTATTTGTCTCTTTTTTGCTAGATCTTAAGGTAGACTTTGCTCACTTTATACTATTCTTTCTAGAACAATGTCATTAATACAACAAATTATTTTCTAAGCATAGTTTCATAGTTGGTATGATATTTCAAACTCATTTTTTTTTTTTTTTTTTTTGGTTTTTCGAGACAGGGTTTCTCTGTGTAGCTTTGCGCCTTTCCTGGAACTCACTTGGTAGCCCAGGCTGGCCTCGAACTCACAGAGATCCGCCTGGCTCTGCCTCCCGAGTGCTGGGATTAAAGGCGTGCGCCACCACCGCCTGGCTTCAAACTCATTTTTAATCTCCCTTGGAGATTTTCTTTTTACCCACGAATTATTTAGAACTATATTCCTCACTTTTGAAGATTTCCCCCTTTAATTCCGTTTTTATGTCTGATTGGACCCTATGGGTAAGGACTGTCCTCTCATGTCCTTTAAAGATTCTATGATCTGACTGCTCACACATGACATGACTTATCTGGGTGAATATCCTCTATGTATTTAAATAGATTACTCAGTTGTTGGTATTTTAGAGTCCTCAGAAGGTTGTTCTTTATTGCACTCATGTGCTATAGCTTTGTTCCTAAGAAGGAAAGGCAGAGCACACTTCTTTCATAGTACCTATAATTAGTGACTTTCATGTTAGTTTGTTTGAAAGTTTGCTTAGTGATGAATATTGGCTCATGAAATTGTCTCACAGAGATCCTCTTCTGGGTCAGAAAAAAATCCGTGAGGCAATACAAGATGGATGAAAACCAGTCTTCATTCCTTAATAAACATCATTATCCTTTTTTATAAAATGAGATGGAAGTTTGCTTGTCATCTCTTAGTTGTGTGTTAATGGAAAACCTAAAGAATGGAAAGGGAAAACATAGATGAACTGATGAACATAGCTTAGGCCTGCGGGAAGTGGTTTGGTAGTAGTATTCACCTTGCGTAGGTTTGGCCATCTAAGATTTGTGCTTTGGTGGTAATGGCCAAGTTTTCCATGGTTAAATCATTACAAAGGACAGAAACGAAGCAAGTAAAATCAGATTAATAGCCACAGCAGGCTTATCCAGTTTACAGAAAGACCTTATAGGAGACACAGTAAGATTCCTGGGTAGGAAAACTGACGAAGGCCAGGCTGAAGGTCTGAGTCCGGCCATCCTGGTGAACTTTAAAGAGTGACCATTCTGTGAGCATACAGTTATAGACAGAGTCAGCAAACAAAAAAACATCACTCTGTGGCTCGGGGAAGTGCCATTGTGCAAAAGGAAAACTAAGCAAATTTGTGACAAACAGCATTGAGGCAACAAATCAGGGATGCTGGTCCAGGGAGAGAATCTGTGATGGCTAACTCAAAGCCTAGGAGATCCAGAAGCTTATTAGGCCCAGAGAATATGGCCAATGAAAGGTTTCTCATACAGAAGTAGGTATAAAAGTGGTGAGCAGAAAGTAAATCCTCGATAACATTTTTAAGCCTATGTAGAATTAAACATGCATTTGAAACAATGCTTGCTAAGTGATATATGCATCCAAGTTGGTATATTAAGAAACAATGTCATTGAATACCAGAGAAGTACTGATACAAAAGGGCTGGGGACTATGATAGGAAATGAAATGAGTAAAAGGAAAGGCTGTCCAGGAATATATGTAGGTCTCTATTATCTGAAGCAAGAGCAGGATCCACAAGACACCACCACAGTTAGGTAAAGCTAACTATAATTCAAACACTGTGAGCTCTTGCATTAGTAGACAGTCCCCCTGCCTTCTACAAGTTTCTCCAGCTCTGATTCAATGCCCCTTTACTCTAAGAAACAACAACTGAAAGTGTATTCCTTTTTTTCCCAGTAACAAAATTCCAAGGTTGAATGTGAGTCAGTATTAAATGAACTATCACCTTTTAAAAGGGTTCAGGCCAGTCAGCCATCTCCCATAACCTTGGTACCTTTAGCTTGTCAAAACATGCTGCACAATCCAATTTCTGTTTTGTAGGCTTGATGTTTTATTCATCACAGGGCAAGGTTGACCCTGGATTTGTGTTTGAACAAAGGTTATCATTGGATTAGCTCTCTGTTGGTGACCTGACTTTGCTCCATCCTGCATAATCCAGTAACTCTTGGGAATATCAATTAAGGTCCTCAATCACACTAATTAGAATGTCTTCTACGTGTTGCTCTAGAAATTTAACAACTTATAAACAGGAAATTGGTAAAATCCAAAGAGTGTGTGTGTTTGTGTGTGTGTGTGTGTGTGTGTGTGTGTGTGTGTGTGTGTGTGTGTGTGTGTAAAGCAATGAGGAAGGCCAGAATACTTTAATAGCGCTGAGCAGTGGGGCTGAAACTGCTGTGCTCTGAATCTGCAGTGCAGTATCTTATTGCTGTTGCTGACAAGGATTGATGCAGAATTATTAATTGCTTTTATTAATGACTTGAGTGAGGACATAGGTGGCATGCTGAGCAAGTGTGTCAATGACAAAAAATCTAGCAGGAGAGCAATTATTGTGATGACAAACTCAGGATCCAAAATGACTCCAAGACAGCCTTTAGTGGCCATTCTTCCATTTTGTGTCTAGCAGAGTGACTTCCCTAAGGCCTAAGCTGATCACTCCTATATCACTTTATCACTCCTCTACTCAGAAAACATCAGTTATCTTGTTTGCTCTATAAGTTAAATCACATGTCTTTAGCATGCCATTCACAGAGTTGGCATTTTCTATCTCCAGCCCTTTCAGACTTCCAATAAAATCATCTCTAGTTCTTTTTCTAGTACTCTGTACTTGAGCCAAACAGAATCATTATTAGACTATTTTATAACCATGTTTCATATTTTCTTTATCTGTGAATATTCTTCTCCAAGAGCCCCATTTCCCCATATTTTCATTCTGCCTTGATTCCTAATAACCAACCAGTCCTTGCTCAGTGTGAAAGCACCTTCTGTTTAGTCTTCACAGAGTCTTGGGCTCATCTTCAATCATATTGATTGGTTGATTTCTTTTATCATTTTTTGGCTTTGTACTGCCATTTATTCTTTTGGTACATGTTTTAAGTTCCCATAAGACTCAGCTTACTACTATACCCTCTGTCTGATAAGTCATATTTCTAGTCTGGGTCTGCATGTGTATATCTTATACACAGTTGACAGCACTGAGGTGGTCTTTATGGGTTTATTGACTGGAGAAAAGTACTCTTATAAAAGGCTCTGCATTATGCATACTAGAATACACTGCAGTTAGATTATTGTAATTTATTAATAAAAATTTTGTAATACTTTTGGGAGGAAGATGGTACTGTGGCTCAAGCTCTGCGTACTGAATATGTTATGGAAGAGTGCTGTGCCACCAGGCTAGCTCTCCAGCCCTCAGAGTGTTTTATTGAATGAATGAGTGATAGATGGATACAACTAAATTTCCCTAAGATAATGATGTGAGGATTGGAAAGCAGTTGTTCAGAAAGAAAAGGACAATTGATAGCTGAGATAAAATGTTTTTTGTTTGTGTTTTTTTTTTTTTTGTAATTCCTCTTGTGAGAAACTCATGTATGATTTGTTATAGAGATAGGCTGAAGAAGGAACTAGAAGTTTTTGGTTGTCTGTTGTTATGAAAAATGATAGGGGTAGTAATTTGCATTTTGTGTTAGGATGTACAATACAGCCTAAGTAGTTTGGATTATACCAATTTATACCCTTTATTTCCATGTAGTACTCTTAAAAGTGGCCCATTTTGATGCTTTATGTCATACTGTCAAGTATTCTTTTTGGCCATTTTAGGGATGTGGTTCCCTGTGCTTGATGAGAGTTTAAAAATAAAATTTAAAAAAATCCCATCTCTGCTGCTTTCTAGAAGTATGATGTAGACAACTTACCAGATGTCTCCAAACACGTTTGTATGGATGCTTTCATCAATCAGAAGACAGAAGTCATGAGCCTGGAATTTCTGAGTCATCCCATATTTCTGTATTTATAACCCTGTAGACATTTTCCCATTGGCCAGGCAGGTCCAGAGGACTAGGAAAAGATGTACTTTTCAGAGTCGTTAAATCTCCGACATTAAAGACTACACATCCAAATATAGGAGCATGGTCTTGCTAGTTGGCAGTTCCTGCTGGTTGTCATTAGAAAGCTAAAGACCACAAAGATTACTGCCTTGCCATTTGTCTTTTCAGTGGATAAGCAAGAGCAGTGAGGGCAGGAGGTTTCCATATTTCCTGATGATATAAATTCTGTGTGGTTGACTGCAGACTATGTCTGAATCCAGGGTCTCTAGACTTTCCATTCATCACTAAGATGGAAAAGTACCTGGATCGTAACATATTTCCTGCTGAGACTAGACAAGGGAACTTAAAAAAGGGTAAGAGGGTCAAACTCATCTGCCAGAAGTGTGACTCCAGGTCAAAAAATCCAGATGAACATTTTTTTTAAATGTAGTAGTTATAGTTCAGTGATTAGCAGGGAGTTCTGGAGCTTCACAGCTGGAATTTAATGACGGCTGGACTACTTTCTAGCCAAGGGATCTCAGTTATGTTATTTAAACTTGTTTGAGTTTATCTATATGCATTTTGGGGATTCAAAGGCAAATGACAATATGAAACAATGCCTATCAATTTTGTTGTTTGTTCTGGCAATAAAACTTGTTAATATTGTAAAACCCTTGGGACAGTTCTTAACCTAGAGTTAGCATGCATTGCCAGTGATTATTAAAACTCTCCAGGGAAGAACTACCCTCCCTTATCTTTTTATTTATGTTGACAGGATGGGACTACTGTGGTGTTTGATGAGTCTGTACTTCTATGGGATCCTTCAGAGTCATGCCTCAGGTGAGTATGTGGCACTTGGTAAATAATTGAAATTAAGATAACATACAGGATCATGTGTCCACTCTTTCTGATAGTGAACTTAAAAGAACACAATGTTGGTTTTGTTCCATGGTCTTCTGCAGTTGTGTAGAATCAAGTATCTGAAAGAACCATAGAATTTGGGGATGAGAGGGACTAGAACACTTAGGAAGAGGGCTGATCTATATAAACACAGGGGAATCTTAACTTTATACCCCAAGGATATTTCTCCTTCTTATTGCCTTAAATCCTATGGAGGTAATGTCAGGGATATAGCACGACCTATTTCCCAAATTCAAACGAGCACTGGAGAAGACTCATTTGCCAGCAGCCCCCTGGGATGCTGAGAACAAGACAGACAATGGTTCTGATCAAGCTGCATCCATATAGGCAACAAATTTGGATTTGTTGGAAGGCTCTGTCTTTGGATATGCTTTGTAAGAGGACCCTACCAAGATCTTTATTGAGTTTGATTCACAAACTTAGTCACCATGGTCCTGGATCCCATGTAGAATAGGTTGGGTATTCAAAAGCCCATCTTTTGATGTCTCCTCTCATCTCTAAATTACTTCTCATCGTCACCCCGGTTTGCTCTACCTAGCGAACCTATAATTGCAGACTGTTTTATTTTTTGATTCATCAAATTTTTATAAAACTTCTTTCACATCGGGCTGAAATTAGTCTCTATCATTTCCATATACTTCTTTAATTTAGCCTCATGAATGAAAAAGAAAATACCTAAAGCACAGGTTCTTTGGTTTTTTTTATACAGGGACCCTAGGGTTCCTAATTTTAATAAAGATCCCTATGTATAATTCCTGTGAACACCATGGGCTATGCTTTGACTGTCATTGCTTTAATGGCTATTCTCTGTGAGAACTCTTTGGAAGTGTTAAATCAGCATTATGTAACCATGACCCCAGTGTTCTGCAATGTGTACCTTCAACTCTTCTTCACTTGGCATGAATTTCAGCCCTCCTACCATCCTGATCGTCGTTGCTGGGTGCATTTCAGTTTTTCTATGCCACTTAGAGCATTGTATTAGAAACCAAAAATAACTCTAAAGACGGGGTGTAACTAGGACAGAGTACAGCTGAAAGAACAGATAATATCTAAACTTGTGGGCCCTTTGGGACTTCACAGAGGAAAGGCTGTATTTTAACCAGGCCTAGTATTCAACTGGGATGTGCTAGCATACAGCTGGGCCACACTAATATACCAGCATCTATTGGGTACTTGTCTCATTTGATCGGAAGGGAATTGGTGTACAGACTCTTAAATATGATGATGAAAATCTCGGACTATAATTTATTTTCACTTGACTTAGTACTGATTGAATGTTATCTTCTCACAGAGGCTTTCCTTGACCATTTCTAATTAAAATAACCCTGCCAATCACTCCCCTCCACCCATTAGCATTGCTTTAACATCTCCCATCATCTGCTAATGTTCTATCAGCGCTCTTCATTGTACCTCTTTTCTGTTATTTGCCATTGAACCCCTCCTTCTTATCCTTTCCTCCCATCTTTTTCCTTCCTCCCAACCTTCTTCCCTCTCCTCATTCCATGTCTCCTTCCTCTTTCCCTTTGTCATTACCCCTTCTCTGATTTTAAGGTACTTGGAGACATAGATTTGTTCATTTTGTTTGGTTTTCCCAAACACTTGGAATGATGATTGATACATAGAGACACAGTAGGTACTCAGTACACACATGATAAATAGATGAAAAAATATCTGTTCAGAAGCCCTCTTTCTCAAACTGGACAGTTTCCTGTTGGCACTCTTTAAATCCACACTAATAATTCCCATTAGAGCGTCAAGTGCCACACCTGGAAGCTAAACTGAGAGATGACCACGCTACTGCTGCTGAGAGATCAAAGCCTCCAGAAGTTTGGGAGGTCTGCTGCCTGCCCAACAGTCCTGGCAGCACTGCCTTTCTGAATGACCTTTACTGTATTCACCCAAAGATCCCCTTCCCCCAAATGCTGTTGATAAGTGCACTTTCTCCCCAGGAACTGTGACTCATAATTCTGTCAGGGGAAGCTGCCTTCTTGAATAAGATGAGTTCTCATACCAACCCCATTGAGTCACCATGGGAGAGGAAACATGTTGTAATCCCCTCGGCCCATCTGGCACACACTCATGCCGTCCTTATGAAGAGGTGTATTGTGTCTGTGTCTGTGCCGCACTTCCTCATTGGAGGAAGGGGAACAAAAAGGAAGTGTTGTTGACAAAAATGAAAGGGGCGACTGGCTCTGGGGATAAAAGGGATCATGGCGATCTTGGGGGGGATCGGTCTACCTCTTCACATGAAGGTATCACCTTTGACAGGGATGGGGATGTTGGCCAACTTGTTGGTCTCCCATGATGCTCTCTGTGCTCCAGTTTTCTCCTGATATTGGAAGTGCACACTAACATAAGCAACAAAACAGAAATATCTTGAGCACTCTAGAGGACTGTATATTCCTAGGACACAAGTCAGGGATTTGGTGCTCTGGACCCAAAGTTTACTGTCCTACAATGAGGTTCCTGTGCAGTGGACTGGCTTTCAAAGCACAAAATTCTGACTTCAAGATGTGGTCTTCTGATAGGTGAACTCTGCTTTCCTCATACCTTCAAAAATGAGAAAGAAACATTTTCATCCAAATTAATAATAATAATAATAACAATAATAATGACAAAACAAATATACTTGCTATTAATGGATTAATGCTTGGATAATTACGCTAGTGAATGACCTTAAAAGCAATTTCCAGTTTGCATGCTCAGTGTTACTTGGCTCTCATACCCAGATCATGGCTGTTGTAGCTCCAGCTTTCCCAACAGAAACTTAAGTCCCATGTGGTTAAACGAATTAAGTCTGCACAGCTAGTGTTCAGCGTAGCTGCACTCTCTGCTCATTCTTCAGTTCCTAAGACTCCTGTTAGTTTTATTAAATACGGTTCGCTAGTAGCTTGGGCTCTACTGGAATATAAATGACGTAGAGAGAGGGCTGTGATGGAAGAGTAATGGGACGCTGTTGCGAGGGAGTCACTCACTCACTACTGAGGAACTGCCTGCTCAGGCGTCTGTGCTGCCTACTTAAGCAGTTATATCTTTACCCTTCCCTCTGGGCCATGTTCTTCTGAAGGAAAATCACTGCAATTCTGATTTCAAACCTCAGCATTCCCCCTTTTTTTTTCTTGTTAGCGTTCTCAGCATTCCCACTATTCGCGGGAAGGGGTTCCTGCTTACAGGAATTCAAACGGAAAATGCCAGTTCATATCATCACTCTTCTTTGCTTTGCTTCCCATTGGCTACAGGATAGAAAGCAGAACTGCTAAAGCTACCTCAGAGTAGGAGTAAGTCTTGGGTTGGACCCTCTGACTCCAAGTTTGGAGAGAAAGTGAAAATAGTGTTCAGGATGGTGAACTTGAACACTGCCAGATCAAAATAATTTTCTATGTAGGTCCTATTAAAAAATAGGCATCTGGGAGAGTCAGTTCTTCAAGACTCCTTGTAGGGCAACCATGAGACAGTGGATGGCTCCTCTACACTTATAAGTATATGGGCAGCAAAATTGGAGCCAATGAGTTGTTAAAAAACAAAAACAAAGATAGCATGAAGTCGGGGTTTGGTAGGGAGATAGGATGGTTCTGAGAGAAGCTATGGAGAGGAGTTGGAGGCAAATGTAATAAAAATATACTGTCCAAAATTCTCAAATAATTATGCTTTAAAATTCTGTTTTACTTCTGTAGGGACATATAATATTTTTACATTGAAAATTATTATTTTGATAAACTTATTTTCAAAAAGCTGCAAATAAATAACAAAACCATCAGGCACCAAAAATTAACCAGACATATAATATTCTTAATTCTCTGTAATGATTCTTCCAGCTTTTCGCAAGAATCCAATTTGTTGCCAGACTCAATGGCCTCATTTTATTTGAATATGCATTTTTGAAACACTCCACATTCAGATGTACTTGTGACATTCAGTCCTGTCTCTGTTGCCCACAGCTACTCATACTAAACACTTCGTTTCTATGCAATTTTGTTCAAACATTTGGAGAATGTATGAAGAATATCATTCCATTTTATTCTTAGTCCTAAAGGTCATCTGGAGTTACAAAGTTTCACCCCATCTTTAAAGCCTGCTTCTGAGAACAGATCTCACTACTCCTTTATATCGAAGCTGCGTTTGTGTTTTAAAACACTCGGCTACTTATTTTTCAGTTACTTTTACTTCCTATGGGTGAGTGTTATGTAGGCTTAGAAGAGAATTGTGTGCCACAATTTATTGGTTTGGTGCTCACTCTGCAAATAAAGAGCTTCTGTGTCCCAGTGATAATTTTGTATTTGGAAAAATGACCTGATTCTTTCCTCCTATGGCCATGTTGGTTAGAAGAAACTACAGTTTCTGGAGGACGTTCACAAGTGCCTGTGCTTGTAGATGGGAAGGCTGAGTTCATAGGAATTACTGTGCCCTTGGAATCCCCATGGCTTCCATCTCCTCTCCTCTTTCTGCAGTCTAGGTTTTCCCCCAATGGCAATCCATTTGGAAGTTCCCAGGCTTTGCTTTAGTGGCAACTCACTGGCAGGCCTGCTTCTGCCAATGTTCATTCTTCATTTCAACATTTTTTTCTTTTCAGTTTAGCTGATTAAATTCTTCAGGGAATAAAATAGATTTACACCCAAAGTAGCAACACGATTCTTGCACTTTGTTTTTGAGAGACATAGAAAATAGTTACATTAAAAAAAAGGAACCACAACCAATACCTCCAAGTATCTGCTGTACAGACCCCTAAGAGCAGATGTTAGAATTGCCTTGCTTTGCCTCCCTGCTTGAGAGGCAGTAGGGAGATTGCACACACCTCAGAGGACACAGGAAACCCAAGTGCCCATTAGCCACTTGTAACTTTCCTATATCCATATTACTATTTATTAATTTGTTATAGTTGTGCTTTGATTCTGATGTGCACACAAGTTAACTTATAGCCA